GTTAATCTGCAATTATTTGATATCTGACTTAATCACAAGTATTAACAAGTATTTGACTGTCAAATTTTTGTTTGATTATGCTAAACACTATATCCAAGTAAATTAAAGTTATATATAAAAAAATTACTAATTAACTAATATTATATATATATATAGAAATATTATTATAATAACCTATAGTGATGATCACAGTATTATCGTATAACATATATATATATATATATTCAAAAATGATCAAATATCGAAAATTAAACTCTTTTTACTAACCTGGGTGTATAGTAAGCATGTTGTTATAGCATTTTTTTCTTATTCTACTTTTTTTTTTTTGTTACTATACCTAATTCTGTAATTATCAGTGTTTTTAGTTACTGTGCTTTCTCTTATTACCATTACTATCATGTTTCTTATATTTCGTATTTCTTTTTATCTTATTAGTACTGTGCTTTCTCTTGTTACTATTACTGTAGTATTTCTTTTATTCCATGTTTCTTTTTATATTATTAGCAACTGATCTTTACTCTGTTGTACTTGCTACTAACTTTACTAGATATTTCTTTTGCTATTACATTTTTTTTGTTGTTGCACTTCTTTTTGTAAATAAATTTCAAAAAAACTATGAAAGGTGAGTCTATAATCTGCGATCTTTGCCTTAAAAATAACCTAATAGTATCATGTACTATAAAGTTATTTTCAAGGCAAAAACCCGATATTATATCCTATAAATATTATTTAAAATGTTGGTTTAGTTTGTTACTTATAAATATTTCTTACTAAAGCTTTAGACATAATTTTGTTAGAGTCTACAAGTAGTACTCTGGCAGAATTTGAAGCCACAAATAATATAAGCATAATATGAGCACAGAATTAATAATTGTTGAAGCAAATAATATAACCAACTCACTTGTGGAAGCAAAACTGTGTGATAAACAAGGGTTTTAACTTTTAGTAGGCTATTTATACACATTATAGGACTTAGCTGAAGCATGCCTCAACAATTATACTAAAGCAGAGGATTTTCTTTACATCAAAAACAAGTAGAAACTGATAAAAATAGCAAAATTTAATGATATACATTTGAGTATTCATGTTTTGGAAAAGCAGTTAACAATAAGGTTATTGATATTTCTCAGCAATGTAATCGTATTTCAGTAAAGATTTCATGTCTATAGCATGTAAATCTATCTCAACCTAAATAATCACCAGCCATAATTATTACAAACAGTATTGGAGAATATAATTATCAACTACAACCAGACATTGCTTTATACACTCCAAAATATAGAAAGCTTTTTTCAGAAATCTTGAAACAAATAAAGTTTTATGTAACAAAAGGGAATATAGGATCTAAGAAAATTTTACCTCTTTTGACTGCCCAATTTCCTAGTCATACAATTTATAAATATGATCTTTACAATGCTGTTTAGAAGTTTAGAAAACTATTAAATCAACATTATAGGGAAGCACAGCAATTTGTTAAATATTTGTTGCAATTAAAGAGTCAAGACCCCAGTTGAATTGTCTGTGTTCGAATAGATCCATATAATAATCAGTTGTTAGGATTGTTTTGGATGTTACCAATGCAACAACAATATTTGATTTGTTATATAAATGTTGTTCAAACTGATAATATGTATCAAACAAATTGGTTCAACATGTATCTTACACTTCTAGTAGTCATTAATAATAATACAAAAACTCAGTTAGTGGCTCAATCACTATCTGAAGATGAAATGACTAAGTTATATGAATAGTTTCTTGAATGTCTTTTGGATGCAAGACATAATATATCTCTAGTTGTTTTATTTTCTAACACAGAACCTGCCCTGATCAGTGCTATTTCTTTAAAGTTATCTAAAACATATTATTTTTTATGTGTCTTTCATATTCAAAAAAATGTTTATAAAAATTTAAAAAGTAAACTTGGTTGGCACTTTGATGATTTTTACAAAGAATTTTTATATATACAAAACAGTACATTTGAAGAAGACTTTTATAGGAGATAGTTGCACTTATTAGATAAGTATCCTCAAATATATGACTATATTAATAGAGCATTACAAGGGTGTATAAAGTCATAGGCTCACTATTATCAGTTAAAATTATTTACAGCTAGAATTCAAATTACTCAACATGTTAAGATTATGAACAAATTAATCAAGAATAGTATAAAAAGCACCTCTTCTTTACGTAACCTTCATGAACAAATACAAAATCTTCTGGATAATAAAGCCAAATAGGCATGGCATTATAGTTACTTAAATTTCCTTCACACTTACCAGGCACCATTAATTGTTGAATCTATATTTCCTAAAGTGTTAGAAGTGTTAAAATTGGATTTGACACCACACATACTGGCTTAGGGTGTACAACATCAGTCTAATTACAAATATAGTGCATATGATATAGTGATGATCACTAATCAATATTTTTTATAGTAAAAAATTTTTTGATCGATTTTTAATAGTAAAGACTGTAAGAAATATCTTTTAATTCCTCATGTAATATTTAATATTGCTTAACTTTATAAGCAAAAAATGTTTAATAAAAGGTGTCTTCATATAGTAATAATGCTAGAATTTTTGTTTTACTAGAAAAATACCTTTTTTTCATAGGTATCAAAATTTCTTCATGGGTACCAAATTTAGTCATATGATAGAATAAGTTGTACAAGTAGTACAAGTAGATAATAATAGCAATGCGATCTTTGCAACTTCAAGTTTTGAGCTGCTAATAAAGATTTTATTAGATGATTATACTATATAAAAATTTGGTTAATTTTCAAAGATATTATTTATTTTAAAGAAATATTGCCAAATGATAATTTAATTTATTAAACTCTATTTTGTAGAAGGATGGTAATTACATATTGGTATATCTATACATTAGAAAAATTGCTAAATTTATATAAATTTATTTCAGCTATATTAAACCATTATTTTTTTTAACTACCACCTCCCATTCTAATCTATTATTACTATGTCAGGTGTTAGGTCTTGTTTATAATTGTTGAACACCACCTTTCCATTTTCAAAATACTTATATTCATTATCTGTTTCATTATCTAGTAGTGTGTTTGCACCAAGAAATATTTTCTTATACTCAATACCACAATCAAACGTAACTTTTCCTATTTTAGCATTTTTACCAAAGCCTAATATGGTTCTGAAGAACTACATGAGAGCCCTGAATGGTGGTATAAATCGAATAAAGTGCTATTGTGTTGTTTTTACTGAATAATTATACTCTGCATTAATGTATATTTCATCTTTTTAGATTTATTTAAAGCAACTAAATAACTAGATAAAACCTTAGTCAGTATTATTTTATTACGATCATGAGTGCTATATAAAAAGCAGATTTTTTTATCAGGTTTATTTATATTATAGGTTGGGTTGAAGATGCTTTGATATTTTTTAAATGCCATTTAACATATTTATTTCGTTCTCTTCTATTTATTTTACCTGGAATGGAAGTTATTTCCATAAATACAGAAAATTCACTAGTTTTATCTACTTTAACAAAAAGAGAAATGTGAATTGTTTCATCAAAAAAATAATTATTTTGTTTATTGTATTTAGCAAGTTCACTGGCTTTTTTATTAGAGTCATATTTGGCTTTTTGTTTTTTAGAATTGTTTTTACTAGGGTGTCTAGATGGTATTTGACAAGATGAAAATATTTATATCAAGGAAAAGTTAGTACTATTTATATAGAACCTTTTTTCAAATCAATTATATATATTAATTATTTAAAAATTTTTTTTTCTTCGTTAAGGATACTATTAAGATAAAGCATGAAAGATTTAACAAGTTTAACTAGACAAAGGGAATTTGACGAATTTATCTAGACAAAAGGAATTCGACGAATTTATCTAAACAAAAGAAATTCGATGAATTATCTAGACAAAAGAAATTCAACGAATTTATCAAACAAAAAGAATTTGGTAAGTTTACCCAAATAAAGGAAATTTGATATTTTAATTAAAATATTAATTTTTTAAATATAGAATCTATATTAATTATTATTTTCTAGATAGTTATTATTTAAGTCCTGCCAAGAGATAACTTGTAATTCATCATATAATAAGAATTACGAGTTTCTCTTGGTAGCACTTATTTTAATACAATCAGTATTATATTCTTAGCAGTTTATCTTGTTAGTGCAAATATAAAAATATATCCCAATAAGGTTTACGCATTATAAGAATTGTTATTCAATACTTAACCATATAGAGAACTATTAATATGCATTGCAGCAAGATTTTCCATATTATTTATTAGAAGTATTATTGTATATTTTTTAAATTTATATATTATCTATGTATTGAGTTGTAAATATAGAAAATATTATAATATAAAAAAATTTTAAATCTGAAAATTACTTAAAAAGAGTTTTTACATACTACATTCTTAATAAACAATACTTACAAGAGTATTACAAAGGCGATATATAAGTTTTAATCTTTTCAAAAATGTTGTTTGATTTCTTATACCAATTGTTCATAATACAATTCAAAGTACTATTACAAATTAAATAATATTCTTAAATTCTAACTTTCTTTCCAAAAATGTTGATTGAATTGTTTTATAATACAAATCGAATTACTATCACAAATTGAATTATATTTTTAAATCTGTGATTCTTACCAAATTCAACTAAATTTAGAACTAAAAAATTCTATTGTTATATAACAAGCAGTTTGTACTTTCTTTCATAGAATTATATATAAATGAACAATTTATTAAATATATGTATATATTGTAATTAAGTAGTTATACTATATTAAAAATTGTAATGAAAAGTGTGCTAAAACAAAAAGCAAACTATAATCTTCTCTCTATACTCATTTATACTATTTACATTTTTAACAAAGAAAATATATTCTAAAATGCACAAGTTTGTAATTATTAACTATGCATTTATATTTCTTGATTCTGATCCTTAACTTTATTGTTTTAAAAATATTTAAAAAAAAGGTAAAATTCATTAGTATAAAAGCTATTCCTCATAATTTTAACCTAGTTTTATAACATCTCACACTGACAACTCTACCGTACTCTTAAACAATCTAATTATCTAAATTAAAATTAAAAATTTTCAAAAACTTATTATATTCAAATACAATAAGAATTTTTCTAAACTAAAATTCTCTTATACTCCAATGGGTTGACTAAATCTGCAAAAAAAGCATCTTAAAAATAGCAGAACTTCATAAAATTGTAAACAACGAAAAGCATTACTTGATAACCTAATTTTAATATTTGCTTAATTAAATAATAGTAATTTTAATTATATAATAAAAAAAATTTTTGAGTCTTAGGAAATAAAAACTCATGATTAAAGAAAATGTAATGATCTGCTTATACATATTTGTAATTTACCTAATTAACAAATATTCAACGCATCTACCTTTTTTCAAACAATGGTCTATACCTGGAGAAATAATCAAGGAGAACTAATTTCTGCCTATTTGCAAAAAAAGGCTCAAGATTTTATTAGTGATAGTCTTTATAAATTAAATAATAGTATTTGTATACTAAAATTACAAATAAAAATTTAAAACAAGAGAATAATCATTTAAGAAAATATAAAAATACCACAACTAAACAAATTTGCACACTTTCTATACGATTAACAAAAGCAAAACAAACAAAACAAAAGCAAATTTCAAAAATTCGAGCTGCTATTCATAAAGCAAAGCAAATTCAACCTGCCCAATTTCAATGTGTAGCTAATAAATTGTTTAAAGCTAATAATAAAGAATATAGTGCAAAGTTTGTAAAGTTAGCTACAGATATTAGTAACATTGGACAAACCTTCATATATGCAACAGTAAAATGCACTAAAGCCTTCTACCAATTCTTAACTGGAGAAGCACTACAGCAGTAGGTAATACCAAGCACTTTAGCATGATGGAACAATGAAATAGCAGCTTTGTTCTTTGACCAAAACCATTCTATAGATGCTTGTTTCAGATTTTTTGGCAATGGCATTATGGTTGATAAAAGCACTAGAGAAGAAAAAAAAAGTACTAATTGTTTGTTGTTTATATTGGAATAATATTAAAGAAAAACTCACAATTACTGTAGTAAAATTAACAGATCTAACATATTGCAATGCTAAAACTGTTTCGACTACAGTATTTGAAACATATTAACAAAAAAGTATAAACCCCCAAAGATGTCATTTTTGGCTAACTGATAACATGGCCTATATGTCTTCAGAATTAAATAGTGCTATTGCCAATTTCAACTCGTTATCAATATCTAAATCTTTTCGGGTCCTTGTGGATTGCATATGACTCATATTGCTCTAACAAATTTTGAAAATACAGTATTTGGAATGTTAGATGCTGTTAGAGGATTATCATTAAAAAAGTATCCATATAACTTACTTAATCTCACTTTTTATTTTCACAATAGATACAATGTTTTAGATAAAGACAGTCCATTAAACCTAAAATCTGAAACATTTCAAAAGCTCTATAAAATAATGTTTAATTTTGAAATAAATAAGTATCAACAACCTATATATCAACAGTAGTTATATGAACTTAAAACTGCTAAACAATATCTCAATAGGTACAAAGTTCATATTTTCTTTGCAAAGTTTTTTATTGAGCAACTAAAAGTGCCAAGAATGTTCCAAAACTATACTTATATAAGTTGCAAATATTCCTTAAGTGGTTAACAAATAAATGGCTTAACCTCCAAATATATTGTTTAGTTAAGTTTGGTTAAAATTTTTATGAG